TCATTTTAACAATGCACACAAATGTTACGGATGTTCGGGTACAGGTGGACCCAATGTGCGGACACAGACAAGGGACTGGAACCAAAAGAGAGTTTATTTAAATACATAGGGCGCGGGATACCGGGTGGAGGAGAAAGGGGACAAAGTCCAAGCAGGTTCTAGATGAGACAAGAAGGCGAGGTTGGTCCTGGACAGGACAGGCAGGAAGAGCAGCGAAGAGATGGGGTAGGTCGGGGACGAACCAGTAGGACTGGGGGGACCTTGGTGTGCAGGTTGTGGAAGACGGACAGCAGGGATCAGGGGAACCAGAAGACTGTGGCGTACAGGTAAGTGCGGCAAGTTAGCAGGCACCAGGAGGACTGGAGGACCGTGGTGTACAGGCGAGTGAAGCTTGTTGGCGTTGCAGATGAGTTGACAAGAGGACCGAGGTGTGTAATCGGGGGGAGAACAAATGACATTGTGGCTAGCAGGCAGGAGACTTCACAGTAGACACTGTAGGTGACAATACCTCGTTGGTGTTGCTCATCAGCGTCGTTTGTCGGCTTTGCAGGCGAGTAGCATGGAACTGGGGACAAAGGCAGGTGAATGGGGAACTAGGAAATGCAGACCTGGAGAGCGCAGAGTTGAGGAATGGAGAACTGGAGAATACAGGGTCGGAAATGGAGAGCTGGAACTCGGGTAGGGGGTAGTGTAGACATAAGGAACCAAGGCGTGTGATCATCAATAAACCCCCCAAGGGGCAAACAGAAAGAGCGGCGTATATGTAGGGAGCTGAACCCGGCACTAACGAGCTGCAGGTGGAGGTGATCACAGCTAATTGGATTGATGTGGCAGAACAGTAAGGAGATACGGATAAAAACAACACAAAAACAGGAAGCAACGGTCCAAACCGTGACAACAAACTAGGAATGTTGTATTTTGTTTTCTCTCTCTCTTAGATGCATCTTACAGTAAGTACAGTATAGGGTAAATTCATATTGCAGCATGTCAGACAATTTTCATCATTAATTTTGTTAGATGATGCCATGTAACAGCCACTAAGCACAGTAAGGGTGCCATAATTAATTTTCTCAAAGTGAAATCTCTCTTGAAGTTTCAAAAACTTTTGCTAAAACTGCCAAAGCTTAGCAATGACATTTTTCTTTAGTACAGTAGGAGAGGTGGTGAAGCATGAATTATTCAAAAATGACAACAACCCTTTCACTTTTTACACTTTGCTTTACACTGATCCCCCAGAATGTGTGACTGAATCAACTAACAGCTTTCAGTAAGAGCCAGCGGGGGCCACCATCTCCCTTTTGCCACTCCACCCCCTTCATCAGTTTTCAGATTTTAATTAAATGAATCAATGACAGGATTATTCCTCTTGAGTGGGGGACCTTGAATGTGTGGTACAGTAGACTGTGGGGAGCCAAAAAATGAAAGGGGGTGGGCTAGATTGGGTGGGGGGTGGTATCTCAGGTGGGAACACTGTCTTAATCACTGACCTCAAGCAGCCACCAGAATGAGAACAAAGAGCACTAAAATATTCATTAAAACCTGCTCTGAGTGTATCATGTGAGAGAGGAATGGAGAGGATAGGAGGAGAGGGAGCACAGTGTTTGGAGTAAAGCGAGGAGGTTAGCTTTTTAACATCTCATTACTGGAGTCCACTGATTCCAACAGAGACAGCTCTGTAATATGAGCCTAGATCATATCATGCCCAGTGCACCCAGGATGTCACTGTGATAGGACCATCTTCCTGGGCACGGACATATATCTCATGTTGCTTTGTGATCAAAATCTATCTTGTGCCCCATCCGCTTGCTGCCAATGACATCAATATAACAGAATTTTACCTAGGAGGAGAACAAATGAATGAACCCTGTGTTTTTCAAATGATAATAACAAGTGTACCTGTGAAGCGGGAGGGGAAGCTTCCCACACAGGGAGGGAGAGTTGTGTTTCCCTTTCTGAGAAACATGAAAAGCATTTCAGGGTCGGTGAGCTTGAAAGCAGACGCATAAGGGAGGCATGCTGGGTGGAGTGAATCAAACCAGCTCTGGGTGTGTGATGATGCTCTCTGGAGATACAGCTGAAAGTGCTTGACTGTCAAATAGATGGGGAGTCCAAACACCTACTGTGGCCACGCGTGTATGGCTAAATGTGTATGAGCATGCATTTGTGTGAATACCTGAGTGCCCTGGCTATTGTTTTATGAGTGTGTGCATGTTATACCACTGGGCACCCCACACCATTTGTTGCTTTATTCCACATATATTTCCCATAATTGGAGCTGAGTTCTGATTGCTGGCTCCAAAATGTTAGCAGGCTTCTTACTAAAGTTGACTAAAACGTCAACACTGGCCATCACTTCTACTGGTTAAAATGGCAACCATTACTGGTATCAGATTATATGAGCCCTAGCTAATTTACATTAAAGGATAGGTATGGGATATTTTAAATTGGTCTGAAAACATAGCTGAGCTTATATGTATGTTAGTTGCTGAAACTGTTCGTACGCTGCACCCCAGCCAAGTTTCTCACCTGAAAAGTGACTATGCTGTAAGGAATGGGGGATAAATCACACAGCCTTCAAGTCAGTACCTTTCAAAAATAATGTCCACTTGCAATTGATAAATGCTAAATCTACAGTAAATGGATTTGCTAGAGGATATGAAAGAATTTGGACCAAACAGGTAAAGATGTTGGATTTAAATTTGATAATACTATGTGGTCCTACAGTATCCATAATACAACTCAGTGGTGTGACTCTCACTAACTGGTAAATGGTAATATCTGCAAGGATCAACACTCAATGTTGGCAATAATTCAAGTGATATCACATAAATTATTTTCTCTTTACTTGAAATAAGGCTGAGCTGGTCTTACCTATGACAAGTACAGTAATTTTATAATCAGTGGAGAGCCCCTTCAATAGTAACTCCACCTAACATACAACATTTTCTATGTTACTGCAACATAATGGAGGCTCTGTCTGATACATCATAAATACAGCAGTGAAATGGGAACCTCCTTTTTCATTTAGCTACCTGAACACCCATTTGATACTGACCAGAATCAGTAATTTTTGCATTGCAACATTAAATCTGGCATTTAGTTTCCTTTGGGACAAATTTACCTCCTCATATTGTTAGAAGTGGTCTTTCACACTGTTTTATTAGTGTTTTTGGTTTTGCAAAACTAGTCCTAGACTGACTGCTTCACTGATTTAAAACCCCTAGTGGATCTTCACTGCTCAGCTGCAATTCCCTCTTTTCATAGCTTTTGTTCATTTTACATTCAAACTTTCATCTAGTCTAATTAAATGTAATTTTAGCACACAGGTTCCTGGTCAATTTTAATTCATTTGCTGCCATCTCTTATAATTAGGCCTTGCATTAACCACACCTCCCTAAAGAGTCTCCCTTCCTCTTCCACCACCTCATCTGCACAAGAAGCATTTCTGCTCTTACAACCCTCTCTCCACTCCACCTTCAAATGAGATCAGAGCATTTGAGATTTAGATTCTTGATGATATTAACTCTTCTGCTTCACCTGTCCCTCCCTCTCTGTGACTCAAGTGGTGGATCCCCCAGGTGAGTGAGCTGCCTGCGGGTGGTGAAATCCATGCATGGCCCAAATTAAATTCCTGGGCCACAGAAGAATTTCATGACCTTCTGGCTTCCTGAGTTCAGTGGAAAGGATTGCAGCATGTGGACAGTGGATAATTAACCACCTTCCTAACAGTCAACAGGCCACATCAAAACCTGTACAAATTAAAAAAGGGACGCAGCATCTCTTTGGACTAGTGAGGCTTAAGATATGTATGCTTCTAAAGAGGTGATAGAAGGGTTTTTTTAGGCTTTCCTCTCTCTCTTTGGCTGAGATGTCCTGTGTTTTATAGAGGACAGTCCCTGGCAGTGGAATGCTTTACTATCATTATTATCCTTTTTATTGAGGGAATTGAAATCTACCACAAAATCTATGTCCCATCATGGAAAATTTTAAATATATAGATTCAATCTGACCTTCTTTTACAGCCCATGGAGGCACATCTACCTCTTGATTATGTATGCACTTAAACTGTTCTCATTTTACCATTGTGTGATTCAAGCCACATTCTAAGTTGAAAAAAATCTGAAAGGTTGCAGTGGATAGCACTTAGGAAACTAACACCACTATCAACAATAACAGGTTTGTGTGTATCTATATAGGTTTGAATGTTTTCCCATGATTTAAAATTGTTGACTTTAGGGAATACATCATCTTTTTATTGACAAGAATAATTATGTAAGTTAGGTCTATTTTAAACACAGAACTGCAGATTAATCATAAAAGTCTTTATTTATTACTGTTTGCAGCAAAGAAAAATCTGCCACATGTTACTGGATGTTCAGATGCACGCTTTTCATGAGCTTGTGCACTCCCTGATCCACCTGCTGTGATTTGGAGATAGCTGGAAGTTTGATGGCATAGTGAATAATTACATGTCTAACCATTGATCAATTACAATAGCTCCTAGAGCTTTTCTCTATGGTCTCAGCTGGAACTTTGCTTAAAAAAAAGCTAAAGCTCTCTGAGCTAATGAGCTTACATCGGTTAGCAAACTTGTTAGCTTAGCTCCATCACTGAACAATACGTATTGTACATACAGCTATTTACAATACAGATTTCTACCATTATTTATCTCATAACACAAATCATCACTCTTTTTTGGAACATTTTTCACTGAGACAGAACAAGTCCAATGAAAGTGAATGGTGCACCACAGCTAATAAGCTATGAAACTTCTGGCTCCGTGTTCGCTCCAGGGTCAACACTGTTCAGAAAGCCTGCTATAGGTCAAAGGCGCAAACTGGCATATCTGAGTTCACCAAAGTTGAACTCCATGTAAAATATTTGCTATCACTACTGTTAGAGCCAAAATCCCCTATTCTGCCAAACTGTTTCCCTGCTGATATACAAACAATATGTCAATGACCCATAGGCTGCATTTCAGAAAGTGCTTGTGTGATTACCTGAATGTGGCCTTGAGGATCTGACCAGAGCTGCTCTCTTTGGTGTGGTTGTTGTATCCGTAGAAAAGGTCTCCGAACACAGTCTGATTAGCAGGGATGTCCACTGCTTCCCCACAGTCGATTCCATCGGTGCATGCCTCAGACAGCGGCAGGCAGGACCTCCCATCAGGACCACGCTTATAGTCCTCGATGCACCTGGAGTGATACACAGATTAAGTAATTTAATTGATTCATATATTTCCTTCCTTCTATCCTTCTTTCCCGAGGGCTGTGATATAATTTTACTTTATTACCTAATCTTCCTTATTTGTCTGTTAATTTGCTTGGTTATCTTTTTTTGCACTTGCATTCCATGAATTCATTTTACTGTAGTTCCTTGGGGTAAGAAAATAATTACTAGGCAGGGAGAACACTTTCAGTTTAAAGTTAATACCTTTTACCATTTTTAAAGAGCAGGTGCTGGTTGCACTTTAAACTGCAGCTGACATTTAAATAGTTAGCCTTATGACAAAGAGTTGCTTTCTCTTGGCAAGTTTCAAAATGATTATAGCAGATAAAAGAATTGATAAGATGCCGTCTCTGATCTGCACACCACATTTTACTTGGACTTATCTCCTGCTCCGACCAGTTGACTGCAATGAGAGTGCACAGACACTGAGCTGAATTTTAATTTGCTTCGAAGAAAAGGCTGGTGATTTTCTGTTTTTTTACTTTCCACAAATCCCATACAGATACTAAAACCAACAATGAATTTTGTTTTCATACCATAATGTGCAAATCCAGAACCCAGTTTAGCTCATTTGTCTGTGGTCTAGACCTCCACTGTTGTTTTAAAATCTATTGTAAACATACTGGTGAGCCACACCTCTGCATGTTTGTTCCTCATGAAATATTTGAGACTCATCTTATATCACACAGCACAAAAGGCTAGCAGAGTGATGTAAACAGAGTGGAGAACACAGATTCACAGATATTATGCTGATTACCCCAAATTCATTGTTGGCCTTAGTCTCTGTTTGGGATTCATTGAAAACACATAGAAATTACCTTTCTGTACTTTTGGAGTGTGCTATTGTGTGTTGGTACAAAATAAAAATGAATGCTAGCCCTCATTAGTTGGGTTGGTGCTTTGTTCTGGACAGACGTTTTTTTTTTTCATATATTTTAAGATGATTTATAATGCAGAGTTATTGAAAAGTGAAAGCCATGCTGTGAGACCCTACATTGTGAATACCTGTAGATTTGTATTTTTCATATCATTATTTAAAGGTGCATTATTACAAAATTATGTAAGCATTTTGTTTACATTACTCACCAAAAATGCTTTGAGGTGTAATGGATGTGTTAAATGCATTTCCTGTCTCATTTGAAAACCCCATATTATTCACAGATGTACATGTTTTTCTCTGCCTTCGCTGGTTTAGTGCTGCATATCTTGGCCCATTACTGTCCTCCGTCAGTAAGTGGGTTAATGTGAAACCACTGCCTGGACTGCTGGCATGTCCACATTCCTCACAAACAAGAAAAAAAGATAATCATATGTCCAGCATTACTGGACTGAAACTCTTTATGTTAACACTGAGTAGGAATTGTTTCTGTATCCAAATCAATAATAAAAAAAAAAAATTCAAATGGCAAGTGCTGTAATTTTAATTATAAATTCAAACAGCTGCATTACTCTATTTGATCCTATTCATGTAGAAAAAGATGTTCAGTTTAAACTTATCTTGTTTAATAATATGTAGACCTCAAATACAAATATGTTTGCTAAATAATTTCAGTTTAAAATTCTAATCATATTCAGAAGTCAGAATCTCTTTTCTTCATATCATTCAATCCTGTTACTAAGGATTAATGACCATTCCTATGTATAATAGAACATGTATAATAGAAAAATGTAGGAATATTGATTTACATCATGTTATAGAATGTATTTAAGATGTCATCTACTATTTTTTTGCTGGTTTCAAAACATGCACACTTAAGACCTCCCAGCTGAGCAGCTAAATCAATTCTGTTCGACTGGTCTTAAATCCTCCATCTTATAATAGGAATTAGAATCCAAACACTAAGAGTCTTCTCAAGACTCCTTCATATTGATGATGTTTTGACATCTCCAAGCATAATATATACTTTGTGCAATGAACCAAAGGCAGATGAAGCAGAGAAATATGTGGGGTGGGGGGTGAGGGGTTAAATAGAAAAAAGATAATCTGTCAGGGATTTAGACTAAGAGAAGCTCTCTCACGGATGCCAAATTTCGCAAAGCTAATGCCAGTCTCCAGTGGGAAGAGAGGAGGATTAGGCATATTACCACTATGGAATGCGACAACAGCTAAATGCAGTTGTTGAGAATTAAATAAAACAGCAATTTGTATCACCTGCTTATGCAAATTTGACTTGAAATACTGTGTCTACGCCATAATGTTTAAAATAAAAATGACAGCAAGAAACAACAGCTTGCTGTGTTAGATTAGAACACTGCTGTCTATACAGGTCTGGTGACGTATTCACAGTGGAGATAATCAAAAATTATTTTCTAGCTTTTTTAGTTATGTTGTTAAGCTTAACTTGCCAGGTTCCATTCTCACAAAAAGAATAGCCGTACATGCTGGAAATATACACCAGTGTATAGACAGCTAGCAGCCAAAAATATGAATGTTACTGTGAATCCCCTTTAGATTAAAAGCTCTGCATATCCTTCAGTCATTAGGAGACACTACGATGGGATGGCTGAATTTCATTTTGATGTTTCTGTTTCAAGGGTCCGGGTTTACACTTTTATAGCAGCAGATATTGTGACTCATCATAGCAGCAAAAGCACCAGTGTAAGTGATAATATTAATGATGGCTTTGTTCCATTTAAGTTCCTGTGAAAATGGCCTATGTATGGTAATATTTTGTGCATTACATGCTGGATTAAATCATGTTAAGCTTTACGTATTTATTAACGTAACTATTACTAATACTTTATTTTACAGTATATTATTACAATCCATTTATGTGGTGTACACATTTATTTCATCAAGAAAAAATTAGTTTTTTTTTATTATTAAGTCTTCTGCAGGACCAACAACTATGAACTCCAAAGGAACCAAAATCCCAAGACTATATTATTTATTCAATATATTAAGGGCGTAAAACCATGAATATATAGTACAGCATTGTTGGTCACAATTTTCAGCAGTTCTGGTATCTTCTCAGATGCCTAATCCAGGAAAGTAGGCAGAAACAAGGTTTCATTACTGTAGGGGCATTTTACTTGACACCTTTACATTTACTTGACCACTCCAAACCAACCCAGCTCACTGTACCTGCCCCCACCTGTCAGTGGATCACTAGCTTTCTGACAGACAAGAAGCAGCAGGTGAGACTGGGGAAAACCACATCCAGAGCCCAGTCAGTCAGCACAGGCACCCCCCAGGGATGTGTGCTCTCCCCACTGCTTTTCTCCCTCTACACCAATGACTGCACATCAGAGGACCCTTCTGTTAAACTCCTGAAGTTCGCACATGACACAGTGGTCATCGGTCTCATCTGAGACGATGATGAGTCAGCCTACAGGCAGGAGGTTGAACAGCTGGTCCTGTGGTGTGGTTGCAACAACCTGGAGCTGTGTCCACAGTGGAGATGACAGTGGACTTCAGGAGGAGCTCCTCCACCCTACCCCCGTCCCCATACACCGTAACACTGTATCAGCAATAGAGTCCTACAAGTTCCTGGGCTCCACTATCTCCCAGGACCTGAAAGTTGTTGTCTAACATCAGAAACCACAGGCTGAGTCCTTCCTCCCTCTCCCTTTTCTTTAGCTTAGAGATTTTCCTCTTGATTTTAACAATGTGCAATATATTTTCAAGTTCAGCTAGACCTAGTGCAACTGATAATATAAAACATTTGGCTTAAAAGCTTTACTTTTGAGACAACACATTTCTCCTCAAGGAAATGTGAATGTCATGTCCGTAGCTGGCACCTACGGCCCCTCACATGCTGGTCAAGGTGACAAGGCATGTTTGGCACAGCTGTGGACAATTAGCCCGACTCTACTTAAGCTGCTTGCTGATGTGTCCTCTTTGCCAGATCATTGTGTCTCCCTAGGTTCAGTGATCGTGCCTCTCCTCCCGGCTACCAACCTTCTCCTGGTTGCCTCCACCCTACATGTGCTCTGTTAGTGTCTTTGCTCGTGTCTTCTATGACGACTCATCGCTTCCTGGTTAGTCTTCAGCCGGCAGCTACTACCCTCCAGCTAAGTGTGCTTCATTTGCTTTACTCCTCTACAGTAACTACTCACCCCTTCCGGTTACACTCCAGCTGAGTGTGCTCCTCTTGCTGTGTCTAATGGATGTCATCTTTCCAGTCTGCAGAACTACTCGCCTCTCTTTGACTACGCTCCAGCTAAGTTGTTGGTCTGTGTGAAGTCATCTCTGATTGTTGTTGCTACTCACCTCCTCCTAGTTCCTTCCCCAGTTCAGCGTGTTTCTTCCTCCATGTCCCTGCATACTTGAGCTGAGCAAACTCTTCTCTCCATGCCACATACCCGCCTCCTCCCGTATTCGCCTCCATATCCACCGACCTTCACTCTACCAGTATTCACCTCCATACTCACTGAACTCCACCTGGTGCTTCAACCTCATTCAGTCTGACCCCCCCCCGACTTCACCTCACACGTACCTCATATTCCAATTGCTCCCCATACTGCCCTGACTCCTTTTCCTTTAGTCATCCACACCCAGTGTGACCTCTCGTTGCCACTGACTATCTCCCAGCCACTCAGTCGAGTTCTCTCCTCTCCTCCGGTTTACAAACTTTATAACTTTACAAACATATCCACCTCATACATGCAGCTTATACAATCATAACGCTTATACCTGCTGTTCTTCTAAGTACTGAATACTGATGATCCAGTTCTCCATTAAGTTTTTCTTTCTCCAACTTAAATATTACCCTTTTTAAATTTTTTAACCAAAAATACATACTCATGTTCAACTACTGCTGACACAGCTGAATGCTTTAATTTATGAGCAATGACACTCGATCTTAAGCAGTGTACTTGAGACAACTATTTTTCTGTGGGTTTTCTGGATGAATATATGTCAAATTATTTAAGACTCAATTTTCATTAGTTGTAGCCAAATGAATATCAGTGTCTAAAGACTGCAGCAACTGCAAATCCTGGCACTTCTTCAGAAACTGCTCCATATCAACTCCCAGATGCTATAAACATCATTTAAAGGATAAGGCTGATCTTTCTCTA